TGTGTGTGTGTGTGTGTGTGTGTGTGTGTGTGAGATTCTGGATGGCCCACCCAGGATGGAGACCCAAGAAGAGGCATTCAAGGAACCCTGGCTTTGCTGGTGTGTCTTAGCCTTAAAAACTTCACAGAAGCAGGGCGGGTGGTGGCACACGCCTTTAATCCCAGCACTCGGGAGGCAGAGGCAAGCGGATCTCTGTGAATTTGAGGCCAGCCTGGGCTACGGAGTGAGTTCCAGGAAAGGCGCAAAGCTACAAAGAGAAACCCTGTCTCAAAAAACCAAAAAAAAAAAAAAACCAAACAAACAAACAAACAAACAAACAAAAAAAAGAAACCTCACAGATACTGGCAGTACTTAATGCCAATTCCTCCTCGGTGACATAAAGCTTTGGCTTTTTCTAATACAAAGGAAGTGTTCTCTACAAGATCACAAAGGCAATAAGGAGGAGGCAACAGAAAAAAAACTGCCTGTGATACACAGGAAAGGTGTGTTCAGCAGGTTGTGCCCACCTCTTGTCCTAAGGACAAACTCTCAAGCATAAAGGGACTTTTCCTACACCTGCTTGCACTCTGGGATGTGGGCTGTTACCTACAATATGTAGAGGACCCAAAGTGGGGACTGACCACTAGAAAAAGGGCGTTTCTAGTATTTCCTCTGTGCCAGGAACTGGGCTTCAGCCCTGCAGGCAAAGCACCCTTATGGCTAACGAGGATGGGCTAATAATGTCGTCTATGTCTGGTGCGATGCCAAGGCTTTATGTGCACTGTTTAATTGAATCCTCAAAACCCCGCAGGGAGGTCGCTGGCTGGCAGAGCTCAGAACACAGACTGTAGTCACACTGCCTGGAACTGATCCTGGGCTTGCTACAAGGTGGTCTTGGGCAAATGACTAAAGTGTGTTTCAGTTTCCTTACTCATGAAATGGAGACAGTGACTGTTCCTCCCTTATGGGGATGTGGTAGGGAGTAAATGGCTTGGTCCGTGCAATGTGCTTGACTTGACATAGGACACAACTCACAGATAGTACTTAGTAAGTTTCAGTCATTACTACTATTGTTAGGCATTTTTTACTGATGAGACTGATAATCAAAGTGGCCAGGATGAAGGCATGTGTACCTGGGAGGGCTGGGATGCTGCCCAACACCCAGCTCCCTGTATGGCTCACACTAGGTTATTTGCTCAGGGCCACATTAGGTAACACTGATTTTCTGACCCTAAGCCTTCTTTACAACCTAGAGATTTGCTTGAGTTTTTGAGTGCTCATTCACTACTTTGAATCTTTTTAATTTAAAATTTGTTTATTTATTTATTTATTTATTTATTTGGTGTGTGTGTATGTACGTATACATGTGTGTGTATGCGTGCGTGTGTATGCATGTTCATGCATGCATGTGGACAGTTTTTGAGAGTCTCTTTTCTCCCTCAGCCACGTGGGCTCCAGGGACTGAACTCAGGTTATCCGGCCAGCACACAGCGTCTCTCCTGGCTGAGCCAGCTTGTCATCCTCTACTATAGTCTTCACTTCTTTTTAAAATTATTATTGAAAATAGATTTTTTATACAATAGATTCTGATTACAGTTCCCCTCCCCAACTCTTCCCAGATCTTCCCCACCCACCCAAATACAGACCCTTTTTCCCTCTCTCTCTCATTAGAAAACAGACAAGCATCTGAAAAATAATAAAAATGAATAAACCAGAATAGGAGAAAACAAACAAACAGAAAAAAACCCACAAGAAATACACACATTAGGAAAAGACAGCTGGGTGAGGTGGCGCATGCCTTTAGTCCCAGCACTAGGGAGGCAGAGAAGCAGGTGGATCACTGTGTTCAAGGCCAGGGCAGCCAGAGCTGTTACACAAGAGAACCTTGTCTCGGAAAAACAAAACACACACACACACACACACACACACACACACAAAAAAAAAAAAAAAAAAGAAAGAAAGAAAGAAAGAAAGAAAGAAAGAAAGAAAAAAAGAAAGATCTTTTTGAGACAGAATCTCACTATTTGGCTCAGGCTGACCTCGAACTTGCTACGTAGCCTGGTCTGTCCTCCAACTCATGGTCTTCCTGCCTCAGCTTCCCAAGTGGTGGGATTCTAGGTGTGTGTCACCAGGTCCAACTTTATTATAGCCTTATCAACACCGGTTTGTGGTGGCCTGGAGCCTAAAGTCATGGTAGACAGTATATACTTCTCAATGACTAATAAAGGTGACTTTGAGCTGGGTGTGGTGGCTTGTGCCTATATGCCCAGCACACAGGAAGCCATAGTTTGAGACTCTCAAAAACAAACAAAAGATTATTTTGGGAAGAATATGAAAATATTTGTTATATTTCCATATATTCTAGTGCTAGTGATTTTCTCAGCATTTTTTCAAAAGATTTGGTATAATATATAAGGTATAATTTCTGTCCTGGGGAAGTGGCTGCTTACTGGGAGACCCATGGCACAGGAGAGGCAGTGATTAGGGAAGTCCCCAGGAATAAGGCGACATTTTCCAAATCATAATATCAGGACACAAAGTCTAACCTAAGATTATCTTACCTGTTTGTTTCAAGATGAGGTCTTGCTATGCTACCAGGCTGGTCTGGGCTGCCTGGATCAAAGTGATTTTCCTGCCTCCGTCTTCAAATATTTCCCCTTTTTCTCATTTGTAAAGAACCAATGAATTGAAACTGTTAAATTTGTTTGAACAGTAGTGTATTACCCTGTTGAAAAGGGTATTTTCATCAAATCAGGATTCTTCAGAGCCAACCAGAACACCAGAAAAGGTGATCAAGCTTGGGGAGGGAGATGGCTGGACAGGGTTGGTAGGAGGAAGAGGGATCCCGGGGAAGAGGAGGGTTTACACTCACAGGAAGGGGAATCCTTGTGTGGTAGCGACGATGAAAGGGCAGATCAATCAAAGCATCAATCAAAGCGCGGAACCCGGGCTTTAAATGTGGAGGTCCAGGAAGTCTGGGCTACTTCAAGTGCTGGGCAGAGGACAGCACCCAGAAACGGAAGATCCAGCTGGCAGCCCAAGGATCTGCTGGGTGGGATATGTTGGGGGTCTCTTATCTTCCCACTCCTAAGAGCTGGGAACGTGGAGGAGAAACTCGGTCCATCAGCCTGGCCCTGTGTGGCAGCCCCGATTAGACCTCGAACCCACGGGGCACTAGGGAAACCCAATCCATGTCCCTTCTCTGGTTCCTTGTGACATTTTGGGATATTCCATCTCGGGCAGCCAGTTAACAGGCGGCAGTGTTTGCGAAGCAAGGATATGATGTGTTGGTGCTCCTGCGGCCCCGTGAGGACGCAGGACTACTGCTGGTCCTCCACCTCCCTATGCCACGGGTGGACAGGACAGGGAGAAGATGCACTTCTGGAAGGCACGGGATGCAGCTGGAATCCTCGATGTGGCCAAATCCGGTTCCTCTTCCTCAGACTGCCGGGACACTGGCTGTACCTGGCCCTGGCCTTCTGAACCAGGTCCTGAAGGTGGGGAAGTGGGGCTCCCGACTGAACGTGGCCAGTCTCTCAACCTAGGCTTCTCCCACACAAACAGGTCTTCCTGAGGTGGGGGTCACCACCTACCCAGCAGTCACTCGGCCCCGGGCCGACAGGCACAAACCACAGCACGGGCTGCAAAGGGGCCTCGCCAACAGGCAGCCAGGCAGCCACGAGCTTGCTGCGCACGCGCACGACCGCAGGCTCCGCCCCGCCCCCTAGCGGCCTTCTCTCGACGCTTCTTGGGCTGGCACAGGCGCATGCGCAGGCGCGGAAGCCGGAGCGGCGCTTCCTGGAGGAGCTGCGCCTGGTCTCGCGTGGGCGGTGACTGGGCGCCCGGGCGCAGGAGGACTGGGAGACTCCAGGTCCCTTCAGCTCCTCGGGGCCGAGCCTTTTCTCGTGGCCGAGATCTAGTGGGGCGCGAGGTAGCTGCACGCCATCACCTCACCGAGCTGCGGGTGAGGCGGAAGAGGCCGACGCACCTGTTCCTTCCAGGGGACACCGAGGAGCCCGGAGCCGGCCGCGTCACCCCGGGGCCGCGTCACCCCGGGGCCGAGACTGTGTGTCCCGAAGGCTGGTGCTGCTGAGTTCTGCCTTTCGGAGTCGTCTGTTGTACTGACGTCTTTGAAGCCCTGAGAGGATCTGGATAGTTCTGCTTCAGGACCCACAGAGGCCTTGCACTTGCCCAGAGTTTTGTGCTTGCTCTTTTTTAGAGGGATATTTTCTCCAGGGCCAGCCCTCAGGAAAAACAGGAAGTGAAGGTTTTAGGAGCTGTCCCAGGGTTTCCCCCCACTTCAGGGTGAGGGGACACTACCCTGGGTGAGACTGATGAAAACCGCAGCAATAGGCTGCCAGGGCTAATATTGTGGCTGGGATGGAATTATTTGTGCTATTTTACCCCAGTCACTAATTTTAGGAGCTGAAAGGACTTAAGAGATCCTGTAGTAGTTTCCTCAAGAAACCAGCGCTGGCTGTGGTAGCCAATCATTTTAGTCACAGCACTAAAGAAAGAGAAGGCAGAATCGGGCAGATCTCTGAGTTTGAGGCCAGCCTAGTCTGCATAGTGAATTTCAAGACAGCCGGACTACATAGAGAGCCTGTTTCAAAATAAATAAATAGGTAAACAAAAGAGAAACAAAGACGCCTTGGAATAGGCAGAGGGCACTTGATTAACACGTGAGGCCCAGGATTCTGCTCCCAGCACCACCTCTATAAACCTCCCCATCAGAATATAAAATTATTAGAGTCTTCTTGGAACAAGTCCAGTGAGAGAGATCTGAACTCAGAGCACTTTGTATCTTTCAGCAGGGTTCAAGTTACGGTCATTCGGAAGGCAGAGATTCCCCCAGCATTTCCCAGCACAGAAACAAGTGTAGCTTCTCTGGGCAGGTCGGTGGAGAACACTGACTCTGTACTTTGCTTCCTTGGCTATGATAAAGCCTGGGGCAGGGCCTTTGTGGTCAGAAAGCAATGGATGCACTTTTTCTCTGTGCAGTCCTGGCTGTCCTGGAACTGGCTGTCCTCGAACTCACAGAGATCCACCTGCCTCTGCCTCCTGAGCGCAGGGATTAAGGTGCGTGCCTCCACCGCCTGGCTGGCATCTGGTATCTTAAAGCCTGAGAAGAGGAAAGCCTTGGGAAGGGGCTAGGAAGACGCACTGAAGGAAAGGCAGGAAGCTGCCCATCCTACCCTCTTCATTAGTGAACTTGATCCCTCTGTGCACATTTCTTTCCTGGCCTTAAATGAACAGAATACCCAGCAGGGGCAGGGAATTGTGGCACATGAAGCTGTGTAGTCCAACTCATTTTACAGGCCCGGAAGCTGAAGCCTCAAACAAGAAACTGCCCCAGGGTCAGAGAGCAAGCTAGTGGCTTCGCCTTATTAGGTCCCGCAGGAAACAGATGGCAGGCAGGGGACAGAGCTCATTTGGGAGAGTGTTCCTGTGGCGTTCAAGACTCCTTCGGTTTGATTCAGAGCACTGCATGCAACAGCATGCCTGTAATCCCAGAACTCTGGAGGCAGAGAGGCAGGAGGATCAGAGTTGGAAGTCCTTTTGGCTACAGATTGAATTCAAGGCCAGCCTGGGATACATGGCTACATGAGATCCTGTGTGTGTGTGTGGTGATGGTGGGGGAGGGACGTTTGAATTGGGTAATTTGAGGAAAAGTATAGGGAATGAACTGCAGTAGTGGAATATTCTGGGGTTGGTAATAAAGGGATCTGAACCACCTGTACTTCCAGAGATAGAGAAGCTGTGTAGAATTTCATCTTAGTAGAGCTGGGACTTTTGAGTCAAGGGATAAGGAAAGGAATTCGATGAATAAAAACAGTCCTCACTCCCTCCTTGTCTGTCAAGGCTGCCCATGAACCAGATAGAATCAGAGGTTGAGTAAGAGAGTCTTGATGTAGTTTGAACAGAACATTTCTCAAGTACAGAACAGGGTGGAAAAGGAGGCAGATACCCTGAGGGCAATCAAAGACACCTAGCACAACATTTTTTTAAAATGATTTATTTATTTGCATTGGTGCATCTGTGTGAGGATGTTGGATCCCCTGGAACTGGAATTACAGACAGGTGTGAGCTGCCATGTGGGTGCTGGGAATTGAACCCGGGTCCTCTGGAAGAGCAGCCAGTGCTCTCAACCGCTGAGCCATCTCTCCAGCCCCTAGCACAACATTTGATCTAATAAAAAGGTTGCATTTGTGTGTATACATTTCTTTAGCATGTAATGTCAAGCGTGTCCATTGTATTTTCCCATAAACTGAATTTCCTCTATTTGACCGATTAAAAAACAAACCTGACCACTGAAATAACCTATGGGATGGAGATCTACCTGAATAATTAAGCTGACATCTGTCTGCCTTTCTAGAATTTTGCATTCTCATGGTGGGTTCCTTGTGAATGTAGAAATAAAGAGCGAGCAAGAAGCAAGCAGATATCTTTTAAAAAAATTTTTTTTTATTTTACAATACCATTCAGTTCTACATATCAGCCACGGGTTCCCCTATTCTCCCCTCTCCCACCCCCTCCCCTTCCCCCCAGCCCACCCCCCATTCCTACTTCCTCCAGGGCAAATCCTCCCCCGAGGACTGCGATCAACCTGATAGACTCAGTCCAGGCAGGTCCAGTCCCTCCTCCCAGACTGAGCCAAGTGTCCCTGCATAAGCTCCAGGTTTCAAACAGCCAACTCATGCAATGAGCACAGGACTTGGTCCCACTGCCTAGTTGCCTCCCAAACTGATCAAGCCAATCAACTGTCTCACCTATTCAGAGGGCCTGATCCAGCTGGGGGCCCCTCAGCCTTTGGTTCATAGTTCATGTGTTTCCATTCATTTGGCTATTTTTTTTTCAATAATTGAGTAAAACCAAAATTTATTATAAGCCACAGTCGTCCTAGGGACCTCCATGCTATATATATAGCCTCCATGGTTCTATGGGTTGTGGTCTGATTGTTCTTTATTTTATATCTAGAATCCACTTATGAGTGAGTACATACCATGACTGTCTTTCTGGGTTTGGGTTACCTCACTCAGGATGATTTTTTCTAGTTCCATCCATTTGCCTGCAAATTTCATGCTTTCATTGTTTTTCTCGAAAGCAGATATCTTAAGTGGCAGCGATCACCGAGGAGCTTTTGCTGTGCTTTTTGTCTACTTGTGGGACTGTTCTAGGGCAGCTACAAGGACAGGCCATCAGCACAAAGTTCCCGGGGATTGCTGTCTCCCCTGCTGGTCTCAACAGGCCACCTTCTTTAGATTAAAAGAGCAAATGTGGAAATCTGAAGGAATATCTTGGATTTCTGTTTGGCTTTGCTATGTTAGAGAGCTTTTGGAATTAAAAATGTCTCTGCCTGGAGCCATCTTTACCCACCTCCTGATTCCCGAGTTCCCCAGGATCTGGGCAGGAGCCCAGGGTGCTGCCTTCCTCTCTGCTCAACTCCTACTCGGTGTTCCGCCCACAGGCTCAGTTTGTTAATTGCATTGCTGGTGCTGCTGGAGGAACACGGAGTTCTTCGGGGATAAGCAGCAGCCAGTTTGGTGGGGAGTTCCACCAGCACCCCTAACATGGTGTGTTATAGGACAAAAGCCTAAAGTCTGGGCTCCTCCCGTGCTTCCCCTTCAGAATCTTTATGACTTCTTCTCCTAGAAGGCTTAGGAACCTTTCTTCTGTGGTCCTGATCTCCGTCCTCATGGAAGGAAGTAACAGGCACCCTGCTAGATGCTCCTATCCAGTATTTACTCACTTCCATAGCAGTCCATTGTGTAGAAAGTAGGGACTTCACCTAGAGAACTTAAAAAGTTATTTATGTATACTAAGGAAATGTATTTACATGTGTGTCTGTTTGTACACATGTGAGTGAGTGTGTGAGCATGTGTGAGCATGGGTGCCTGGAGAGGCCAGAAGAGGGTATCGGATCCTTCAGATCCGGAATTAGGAGTTCTGAGCTGTTCAGCGAGAGCAGTAGTTGCCGTAACTGCTGAGCCATCTGGACTACCAACTCCTGCCTATGGAGCATTCTTTAAAATTTAAATTTCAGACTTCTTAATTGAATTTTTTATGATTTTGAGAATTTCATTGACGAGTACATTGTATTTACATCATTTCTATCCCTCCCTTTCCTCACTTTAACTCCTCCTGTGATCACTACCACAACTACCTCCCCCTCCCTCCTCCCCTCCCTTTCTGCTCTTCATCTCTCCTCCTACTCTCCCTCCTCCCTTCCTTCTCTCTTTACGCGCACACACACACATACACACATGCACACATGCACACACACACACACATGCACACATGCACACACACACACACATACACACATGCACATACACACACATACATATACACATATACATGCACACACACACACACTACACACACACACATACACATACACATACACACACATACACATACACACATAAACATGTACACACACATACACATACACACATAGACACACACATGCACATATGGACATATAGACACACACATACATACACACACATACACACATAAACATGCACACATGCACATACACACACACATACAAACACATACACACACAAACACACACACACATGCACATACACACATACAGACACACATATACATGCACACACACACATATACACACATACAAACACACACACACACACACACGCACATACACACACATACACATATACACATACACACATAAACATGCACACATACACACACACACACACACACACACACACACACACACACACACCCTACTGAGTTCATTATAGAAAAATTTGAAAACCACAGACAATAAGGGCAGGGCCCGCATCAATCTCATTCTAATTCAAGATTTGTCCTGACACATTTCTCCTTCAGAATAAACCCTGTTGCTAGAGTATTCGGGTTCATTTTGTATGTTTGCTCTTCAGAGCCTTTTCTTCATGCTGTTTCCTGTGTTCCCGAATCTTGGGCATAGCACATGTCCTGTTTTAGCTCACTCGTGGGTTTGCCTAGCGTTTGCTTCCCTCTGTGATCTGTGTATCTGGATACTCTACTGTACTCCTTTGATGGCGGTGTCTCCTTCATCTACAGGCCAGTTCAGCTACTTACAATGCCAACACCCGTTCTTCAGGACTCAGCACAATGACACCTTCCAAAGGATGTGCCTCCAATGTCATCTTCCTCGGGATTTCTGAGCTCAGCCCTGTCGACCTTCCCTACACTCATTCCCTCTCCCTTCTGCTATTTGGATATGCAGTTTATTTTTTTCGTTGGGCTGAGGAAGAGAATCTGCTGTTGGTGTTTGGGTCTCCCCAGTTCCTAATAGAGGACCTTATACACTGTCAGGCACCAGAGAACAAACGCTTTGGGCTTTTTATGGTGGAGAGAATTTGCAAAGTGAAGATTCTCCCCTCAACGTGGTTCCTTTGCTTAGAACGAACTTCACCTGTAAAATAAATTTCTTGGTGGA